AGAGGAGAGGAGAGGAGAGGAGGAGAGGAGGGGAGGGGAGAGAAGGAAAGAGGAGAGAGGAGAGAAGGAGAGAAGGATAGAAGAAGAGAGGAGGGGAGGAGAGGAGGGGAGAGGAGAGGAGGAGAGAAAACTGTCCATCCATCTCACTTGTTGGGGTTACTGAGGGTCACGGCCGAGCTTCGCATCAGTTTGATTTTTCCGCCGGGGGAAAGGCCAAGGTCGTTGGTGGAGCCGGCGGGGTCGGGCGTGGCTATTTCTGCCACCACCTGGAGGACAGACGCACAAACGTCACAACTTTCTCGTCCTTTGTCTGTTTGTTCATAGGTGTGAAGTATTTCGCTATCTTACAGAAAACATTTCCAATAAAAGAAAGTGCGTGTGGAACACATGAAAACAGTTCAGGACTGGCAAGGGGAATGTCTGGTCCAATATCTCGGTCTCTCTGTTCTCTCTGTCTCTCTCTCTGTCTCCGTCTCTCTGTCTCTGTCTCAGTCTCTGTCTCAGTCTCTGTCTCCGTCTCCGTCTCTCTGTCTCCGTCTCTCTCTCTCTGTCTCCGTCTCTCTCTCTCTGTCTCTGTATCTGTCTCCCTGTTCTCTCTGTCTCTGTCTCCCTGTTCTCTCTGTCTCTGTCTCTCTGTCTCCCTGTTCTCTCTGTCTCTGTCTCTGTATCTGTCTCTCTGTCTCCCTGTTCTCTCTGTCTCTCTGTCTCCCTGTTCTCTCTGTCTCTGTCTCTCTGTCTCCCTGTTCTCTCTGTCTCTGTCTCTGTATCTGTCTCTCTGTCTCCCTGTTCTCTCTGTCTCTGTCTCCCTGTTCTCTCTGTCTCTGTCTCCCTGTTCTTATGTAAAAATATGTCAGTGTTGTTAACCTCTGTCGGTTGGATATATTTTTCCATAACAACAGGGAGACAGAGATATTTAACTCCATCATTTAGGAGGCCAGCTTCTCACCATTACACGCCTCTCCCTCCCTTCCTTCTACTCAAGTATAATACACACAAACACATACAAATGCACACAAGCACACACACACAAACACACACACAAAGACGACCTTCACACTCCCTCATCCTGTCACTCTCATTTCTTTATCCTTTTCCCTCTCATACATTTCTTCTCTCTCTCACTCTCTCTTTCCATCTATCTATATATATCTGTCTGTCACTCTCTCTCTCTTTCCATCTATCTATATATATCTGTCTGTCACTCTCTCTCTCTTTCCATCTATCTATATATATCTGTCTGTCACTCTCTCTCTCTCTTTCCATCTATCTATATATATATCTGTCTGTCACTCTCTCTCTCTTTCCATCTATCTATAT